TTCTTTTCCTTTGTTTTAAAACCAAACCAACCCAATAAAAGCCCAACATAACCAAGCCCAAGAGAAAAAGAAACCCATCCCAACTTAAGATAAAACCAATCACGCGGAACCCGATATATATATAAATTTAATTAAAGTTTAATTTAAAATTAAATGAAAATCTACTGATTCGAGACTAACTAACCTGAGGGACTCGGGCCATTACACTTCCTCTCAAAAAAAGAGAATAGAATGAGAAGATATCCTTTCCTGTAATCGAGGGATTTAAAATATTGAGTTTATTTAGTAATATTTGCGGTAAATGTCCCAAGATTTTGGTTTTGTAAATTTGATTTTTGATTCTTTATGTTTACTAAATATATATTTAAGAAGACAAATTTGTAAAGTTCTCAAACGACTCCATCCTATAGGTACTAATGTACCTATTTTATTTTTTGAATACAACATGAGGAGTGGGAGATCGAACTCACAACTACATTATTTTTTTAGTACAACATGAGGGGTGAGATATCGAACTCACAACTTCTGAAAATATATGTCAATTATCGCTAAGCTATGCTCGTTTTGGCTATCAGTGTATTTATTTTAAATTAAAATCTCATGATAAATGTATAGTAGGAGATGTATTTTGGGAACAAAAACACTTCTTCGAAATCTCTAAATCTATAATTGTAGATATTCCAAACAATAACATTTATGAAATATTGGTTGTGGAAGGATCTGGTAGAGAATTTATGTCATAATAATCAAATAAACTGACACTATTATGTCACCGTTTATTTCTTTAACCTTTTTTTTAACAAGCTCTAGATATACTTATGGAAAACATTTGGATTTCTTTTATCTCTTTTTTTTTCCGCATATAATGGATTTGCCTGGAAACTATCACTACAAAAAACAACTCGTACAACAATTCAACGCTTAGTCCACTCATCCACTAACTCATTCATCCTAACCCAATCGTCCAATATATCTCTCAACCATGTTGACGACTCATCGTATATGTATTTTACTAATGTACGACTGTAAGATAGAGTTAGCACTCCGACTCTCTAGTCAGTATACAATCCGATTAATATTCAGGAGAGACTATTGTTTTGCGCACCTAAAAAGTGAGGTAGTCGACTCTATTTATAGGTTTTAAGCTTCCGACAGCGGTTGAGGAACAGTTACGACGGTCCCATAAATCACGACATGTTAGTGAAAAGATGGTTGGGTGATTTTGTGATATAGCTCATCTTTGTTGCTCGAACTATATCCTTTTGGCAGAACTATGAATCAAGGATGAAGTAGTTTATGGCCGAGGTAGAGGTACCTCTCATGGTCGAGCTATTTCTTATGGTCGAGCTATCTCTTATAATTGAGGTAGCTTTTATTGGTCCACACGTGTCGCATCGATTTTTATCACCTAAACGTATTGATAATATTTTGCTTCTTTTCTTCTCAAATTGTCCTTCATCCAACTTACAAAAGTTATACTAAAATCAAATATGAAAACCGATTTTTGTCATTATGGAAATTGAAAAATAACATCATTTACAAAGCAAACACATAGAAAATAACACCAAAAAATACATATACATATATATATATGTAGAAAAGGAAAAAAAAAACATTGTTTGAAATGCAGCATTGACTTGGTAGATTTCAAAGACTGTTTCTTGTGTATTTTTCTTTTTGCCGGCTTCGATAAAAAATAACTTTGGCCGGCAACCCACCAATCTTTATATAAATTCTCACTTAAAAATTTGGTGTTCTTCCATCATATTATTCAACGGAAAAATGATGATCAGATTTCAGCGGCTTCAATTTTTCCTCTTCATCACTGCATCTTCACTTCTCTGCTTCCATAATTTCTGCAGTAAGTAATATTTACAGTTCCATCAATGATTTATTCAATATTTAAGAGCTTTTTTTTTTTTTTTATATATATGTATGTATATCCTTTGTTCCAATTTAGTATTTTTTTTATAATTTTGGAGAAAATTCAATTTTTACCTATGTACTTTTTGCAGTAAATAACTTTTAATTTTGTTAAATTGGACACCAAACTTGAATAGGTAGGGAATTGATTCTCAGTTAGTTAAGTTTTTTCTTTTTTGAAAATTTGTTATTAGGGATGAGCATTTTTTAAGAAGTCAGGTAATTTGGTCATTTTATTTTGAATTTCAGCGGTTTTTTCAATATGGTTGGGTTGGTGGTTTTTTCATAATTGGATTTTGACATTCTGACGACTTGAATGTTTTGTTGATTGAATTTTGATCATTTTTATGTAATTTTTTTAATTTAACTAATTTTGATAAGATATTGTCAAATCTAATATAGTTCAACAGTAATTAGTACTTATCTCTGGGACCTAGAGGTCATGGGTCTAAACCCACACCTCACATTTGTACTTAAAAAAGTTGAGGAGATATTAATTTCACTCCTTTACTCAAGTTTCATGTATAAATCAATCAAACTTCGACGTTTAATGTTAAAATCGACTTTAGGTTATAAGAATGAATTTCACTCCTATTATTAAACAAGAAAAAGAGTTACATGATGATACATGTAGGGTATGAAGATTTGAACCTCTAATCTGGAAGGGAATGAATACATATATTTTAACGGCTGAATTATGCTAATGTTAGCAGTTTGATGCGTTATTGGTCCTGTTTTTTTTTAGTACTAATTAATCTCTCACATTGTTAGGGATATAATTTTAGTTTTCACTACAAAATAAGTGGAAGTTCAACCTCTAAATTAAATAACTACATTGATTTTTCATTAATATTTTAATTAGATCATGAGCAATGAGGAGAAATCAAAATGTACTAAAACCTCGATAAAATTGTGTGGATCACAATGAAGAAAATAAAAGAAAAGCACATGTTTCCATCCATATGTTAATTAAACCTAGAAAACTATAAAGACTAGAATTCTAGTTTATATTTTATTATATCATCTATTGATCCTATTAATTATGATCAAAATTGTGTGGAGTTACCATTTAATCAAGATCGACGTTAAAATTGACCGTTTTTATCATAGATAATACTAAATAGAAATTAAATTACAATCCCAAATCTCAACTCTAACCGAAAAAAAATTGATCCATAAATAGTTTCGATTTTAAATTTCTACTAAGTTGATTTAGTTCATAATTAAGTTTTTTGATTTCTACTTGCATGCCAACTCTCATTCTTGGTTCTTTAAATCTTAGGTAACAATGACTATAAAAGTGACAAATATTTCTACTAATCTTTAGCCCCAAAATGCAGATGGGAAGAAGGTGATGATGGAGTACATCGGAGCGACGGGGATTCCAATCACCTTCGACTCAGTACCGATCTCAAACGACATCGATTTCCATTTCATCCTCAGTTTCGCCATCGACGCAGATCCCTCAGCTAATCCTCAAAATGGGAAATTCTCCCCATATTGGGAGCCCTCCTTGACTGCAGACTCGGTCGTCGCCATCAAAGCCGAACACCCAAATGTGAAAGCCCTAGCCAGCCTCTCCGGGTGGAGCCTTGACAACATTGTCCTCCGTTGGCGCAACCCTCCAAACCCTAATCTCTGGATCTCCAACGCCTTCTCCTCTCTCCAGGCCCTCGCCACCGAGTACCACCTCGACGGCATCGACATCGACTATGAAAACTTCCCAGAAGGCAGCTCGAGTTTCGCCTTCTGCATCGGCGAGCTCATAACCTTACTGAAGAACCAGAGTGTCATCTCGGTTGCAACCATTGCACCGTTCTACTCCACGGTTTCGCCTTACTTGGAGCTCTTCAAAAGGTATGGAGAGGTGATTGATTTCGTTAACTACCAGTTTTATACTGATAGAGTGACAAGTGCAGCTGCATATTTGAAGAGGTTTGACATTAGAACTGAGCAATTTGGTGGGGGGAAAGTGCTGCCAAGCTATGAAGTGAATGGGAGAGGGATTCAAGGGGATGCTTTTTTTGAAGCTTTGAGTTTGTTGAACAAAAATGGGTTTGATGTTAATGGAGTTATGATCTTCTCTGCTGATGCTTCATTGTCCAATGGCTTCCATTTTGAGAGGAAAGCTCAAGAGTTCTTGCTCAACTCCACTACTGCATGATTTTAATTTGGTGGTTAATATTATATATCAAGTGATTGAACAATGTGTTATGTGATTCTATTTCCATAATATATTTTTTTGTTTAACTAGTTATTGTATATTTCATCATCAAATTAAACATAACGCAAATATTTGACATCGTACTTTATTTATTAATATTTTTTTTAACAATTTTAGAGTTAAATTATAAGTCCAGGTCATCAACTTATAAGTCTTGTGTCTAACAAGTCTCTAAACTTTATAAAGTGAAGTTTGCTAGATTAAACTTTACCTTTCGTACCTAGTAGGTCTATGAACTTTAAGAGTGTTTAATAGGTTCTTAAACATTCAATTTTTTGTCTAATGGTCACTGACAATTTAACATTTTCTAAAATTAACTGATCAATACGACATAAAATTGAATCCTGTATTTAATAGGACCCTCAATTTCAATTTTGAGTCTAATAAGTCTGAATTTTATAGATGACAAAAAAAGTTCGTTGGTTCAGGTCCCACCCTGATTGGATGGAGGAACCCCTAATTTTGACTAGGTATGGGAGTAAAACTATGGGATTTCCACTAGATCCTAACTAGGGACGGAGCAAGAACGAGGAAAGGTATGCTCGCCCTCCTTCTTTTTATTATCATTTTTTAAATTTGTAATATAAGTTTCTAATACATATGTTTTATTTTGGAGCGCTTGCAAAATTAGTAAAACATTAATAGTAATTTGCAAAAGTAGCGACCACTTTTAAATTTAAAAAAAAAAAACCAAAATCTTAAGGTCAAACCCATGCCGAAGAAAGGAAAAGCCCAATATACCTTTAGTGAACATGAAGGCCAAACATTATATACCTTATATACCAATGATATACCATATATAAACCTGTGATTTGATGTATCTTTTAAGGTAATTCACTTCAATCCACTAGAAGGAGGAAAGTGGAAATGGTGCAACAGTTAATGGTGAACAGAATAATGCTGGCATCACCACAGCATAATGTGCAAAACAAAGTAATGCTTCAGCATCGCCACAGCAACAGATAGTAGAATAGGTGAATTTGAGACCACCACCTCCTTTTCTTCCACGTTTTCAGAAAAAAGGAACGAGATAAACAATTCGACAAGTTTTTTGACATTTTGAAGGGATTACATATTAATATTCCCCTTGTCGAGGCCTTGAAACAAATGCAACAAATGCTTAACTATGTAAAGTTCATGAAATATATATTGACCAAAAAAAACGGGAGAATTTGAAACAGTGGCTCTCACAAAAGATTGCAGTGCAATCCTACCAATCAAACTTTCTCCTAAATCGAAGGATCCTAGAATCTTCACTATCCCATTATCTATTGGTACAACCTGTTGTGGAAGGACTCTATTTGACTTGATGGCAACCACCAACTTGATGCTTTTGTATGTGTTTAAAAGGTTAGGAATTGGATAAGCAAGGCATATACTAGAGTTACTGTTCAGCTAGCAAATTGATTCGATACTCATTCTGAAGGAAAAATTGAAGATGTCTTGTTCAAGTGAATAAATTTTGATTAGCTAATTTCTAGCTACTTGGAGAACGTACTTTTCTTATTCTTTTTAGTACAACTAACAAATGTGGGGGTGGGGGATCGAACCCACAACCTCTTGATTGGAAATATATGTCAATTACCGTTGAACTATGCTCACTTTGACGAGAACGTCAGTTTATTAATGTAGATAAAGAGGAGCTTACCAAGTGAATGAATGATGAAAAGGTAACATTTAATGTATTCAATACAATGTGTTCCTTTGATAACGTAGAATAATGTTATGTTATTAGTGTTGTAATTTCAACTGGGATTGAACAAGTGAACAAAAATGTTGCAACAATGGCTCAAAAAATGCAATTTTAGCTAAGCATGTCAAGAAATAAAGTGAAGTTGAGGATGTTCCAAAACCTGGGGATGGGAAATAAACGGTCATTTACTAGCAAAGAAAGTAGTTTAATGAGCGGGAATTGCAATCTGAATCAAGTAATTTCGAGAACCTTCAACACCAAAACAACAAAATTTCATAAAAAGAAGAGGAAGAGAAAAAGAAAGAAACAGAAAAATGATGGAATAGAGCTTCAAGTTTTTTGAAACACCCATGAGCTTCTTAATTGAGCTATCCTTTCTTTCTTTATTATTTTTATTTCTTTGCTTATCATACTTTTGTGGAATCTTTTTGATGGGTCATTGTGGTGCCATGTTTGAACTTTGCTTTTGTTGGCTGCTTCAAGTTTTTTGAAAGACCCATGAGCTTCTTAATCAGATTGCTTTTTGCAGTGTTTCTTGTTATGAAGACACAGCATGTCTTATGTTGGAGGCAATAAAAGAAAGTTGGAGAAAACTTGGAAAGGAGAGAAAAACACTTCTTCGATTGAGTGGTACCCCGAATATCTCCACAATTGTATGATATTGTCCGTTTGGGCATAGCCCTCACGACTTTGCTTTTGGTTCCACCCAAAAGATCTCATACCAATGGAGATAATTGTTCTCTCTTATATACCCATGATCATTCCCTTTCCTAACCAATGTGGGACTTTGTTTGAAATCACCTTACAAACTCAACAGATCTTGCTTGTGGGAGCAAGTTGATTTGGAAGCCAAAAAAGGAAAATTCGAGACAACCATCTTGAGAGAGTTACTTGTGTGAAAGAAATGCAGAGAGAGTCACTTCAAAATTACAGAACTACTCTATAATTAACCCCATGTCCAATGCAACTGCCCACTCTCAGGCAAATTTCGAGTTTTATTTTTATTTTTTTCTTTGAATTAAATTAATATTAATATTAATTAATTAATAATTTATATATATATATATAAATATAATTAATTATTAATCTAATTAACAATTATATATATATATATATATATATACACACATTAATCAAATAAATAATTAACACTTAATTATTTATTACCAAAATAGAATCATATTCTAAAACATTTCTTTCGTATAACATATAGTTGTAGTGTACCTCTTATGCACATTATATTTAAACTATAGTTTTAATATGGATCACATTCCTATTAAATTTTATTTATTTGAATCTCATTCAAATAATTTCTCTCATAATATATAGGTTCAATTTAGAATTAACCATATATTATAATGTATCAATATACATACATATAATCCATTAAGCAATTTGAACATTTCAAGTTCTTCCAAAAACTTGATCCTCGTTTTACCCGTTGTGAGCTAGCAAGGGGACCTAATGGACCTGTAGATCAGAAGCTCCAACGATACAAGATTAATCGGTCAAACTCATTAACCGAGTTAATCAACATTCGTTAACTACGGGTCACTCCACTAAAGACCCGCAGTTGCACTCTTCTCATTGCATAATATTTTCTTGTCCACGGATATACAACCATTAATGACAAGTCAATCCTTCACGAATGCTCGTAACTCAAGTTAGGTCAAATTACCGTTTTACCCTTGAGTTTCATCTTACTACTTAAATACCACTACACCTCTAATGAACTACCCGATTATGGTCTGACCAATAACCGGAAGTCCCTCTCGGGCTAGTGAGAGGGTGGGGCCCCTTGTTCAAGTCCCGGAGTTAGCATTTAAGAGAACAGTCATCTACTCCCCGAAAGTCGGGGAGGAGTGAATTCCATCTCGTGAAGTTATGTTTCTAACTCTCCACTCGGTCTCGTCCCCAAAATAGTAGGAATGTTGAGTCGGTGACTCGGGTCACTCTCACCCATACAGATCAAAGGACGAGCCCTCACGAGCAGGAGTCCATAATTCAGTCAGGATTGAGAATGAGTTGTCTGGTCATCCTATGAAATAGCAATCTGTTAGTCAACGAAGTTACATCTAAAGATTGACTATTTCACGGTCCGATCGTATACAAACTCATTGTATAGGATATCCCCACCGCATGTCTCCACATGAACGACCTGAATCGGGTCGTCTGTAACATTTACAAAGTGGACCGTATCCATAGTGTTGCCAAGATAAGGTACCCAGCCTTATCCATATACTAGAGACCCTTTAGGTTATTCTTGGGACACTATCTACTTGTATATCAAGGGTATATCAAATATATACCGAGTATATATACTGTCCGATTACATGATAATAACCTTGGATGTTTAGTTTATTGGATTTGGACAACTAATTGCTATGAATTCAACAACAAATTGATTGAATAAAACTTTATTGAATATAAATTTGTTTTTACATCATTAAAAAACTATGAGTTTAGGGCAACACACCCAACAGTAACGGCTTGGGTGAACATATCTGTTGGTTGATCATTGGTCTTTATGAACTCCAAAAATTTTTCTTTCTTTGTGTTTGTCAAATCTTTGATATAGTGATGACGTAGCTTAATATGTAGCTTGGATTAAGCATAAAAGACAAGATTCTTGGTCATTGCAATTGTTAACATATTATCGCATAAGAGTTTTGTTGGTGCCATGTTGGGACTTTCTCTACCTTTAAAAAGATTAGAGACTCGTGCAAGTGCACACAGTCACAAGTAATACTCAGAAGTAATCCAAGGTCAAATCCTCAGGGACTTGTTGCTTTTCAAAACAGTTTAGGAAGAAAATAGTGGTGAAATGTTGTCGTTTGGGGTTTTAACTAACAAGCAATTTAATGAAACTCAACCTCCTTGTCTCCTACCTTAGTTTTGATGCAAAACATGGAAAACACACTATGTTGGGAAAAAGCACCAGACGCAATTCCTGGCTTTTCTTGGGATTTGAGTTCTACTCTTTCACGACCGCTTTTGGTTGCTACAGAGGCTAGGGTAACCTAAAATCATATTCCTATGTGTGATTACAATCCTAGAGAATGTCTACCAACTCATTTGCATTATGGGTCAGAGGGCCTATGCCTATGACATGTTTTATGGCCTTATTCCTAAGTCACGTCCCATATTGGTTTCCTATTATTTTACCTAACTCACATGTCCCAAGGTTGGACTTTGGTGAATAAATCAAGTTCCCACTGGCCAAATCGAAAAAAGACGTAAAGAGAAG